GAATCCGTACCGAGTAAATCAAAAGACACAAATCCATAAATAGGAGTCTGTTAAGAACTCAGGATTAAGATCATCCTATATATGACCATCGGTAGACTCAATTAGAATTTCTATACTTAACGGAATTATTAGAAATTCATATTGTGTCTGTGTCCTTGTTCCACATAATCTCATTATGCAAAATACACTCATTCAATATCTCTCCATATTAACAGTGCGGATAACACCATTCCATTCTAAATGGGAATTACATGTATTAATAATGTTTTAATTTAAGATTCTGAACTTTAATTAAATTCATTATGAACATTGCTTTCTGATTATTATCCTTAAACATTATCCTCTCGTATATAACACTTATATACAGTGTTTAAGGTTACATAAATAATCATGGAATTTTCATTGATATTCATAAAACATTCATAAATATATGCACATAAAATAATGAATAAACTCTTTTATTAAAGAAATAATAAATATCCTATTACATCTAATCCTTCTAGGACACTATTCCCAACAATTCTGACTTTTTTTTCTCGTTCTATCATATAGTAAATAAATGTAGTAGTACAAGTTGATTTGAAATGCTTTCATATGCTTACAACACCTGAACCTCGACAACGTAGAGGGCGAGGTGAGGCAAAAGGTTATGAAATCGCCCAAAAGGTCCTTCAAGACGGAAAAATCACAGTAGAATTTGATGAGGCGGGAGGTACTTGGAAGGCGCTTGGTAAATATGGTGCCTGGTTTGATAGTGCGGTTGGTATTCATACCAGGGACATATGCGAGCCCTTCCATGATGCTTGGAAGGACATTAGCGACATGGACAAGAGGACAATTCAGGACCGGATGCTGGTATTTATTTTATGCAATAATTTGTATAGTTTATACTATAGTTAACAATGCATTGTAACGATGTGAAACTGTTTTGCAAGGACTGGTTTAACGTGGACTATAACTACAAGAACAGTATTCTGAGGTCCGTTGTTGATAGGGAGGCTGCAAAGTGCTACAAGGACTGGAAAAGTTCCCCTCACCGCCACTACAAACGCTACGGTAGAGAAAGTCTCCCGAGTAACATGAGAAATCAAGTTCATTGGGATCGTTGTTGCGATAGGTTCTCCGGCGACAAATTTCAAGTAATTATAGATTTATTAGAACTTGATGATTTTTTATATATAATTTCAAGTAACTATTACTTATTATAGTTAATCATAAACAGAAAATATCAGAGACAAATAAAACTAATCGCAGCAACCAAAAATATCCAAGCTTACATGGTCGGTTATCGTACTCTCAGCATCGCAATAAGAAGGTTAGTACTTATTTTTTGACTTCATTATCGTATTTATATGTTTGTGATTCCTGTTCTGGGTTGCACATCTTGCAGTTATGGTGTGCCGAAATCTTTTAAAGTCATTTTTCTACAGGTTTGGATTTTTGGATCATATGAAAAATAAGTCGTTATGCTGCCGAAATTTAGTTAGAATTTAAGAATTTTAATAAATGTAATTTATTTGATAGGCTAGTACGGAGACCCAAGAGCCGATGTCTACTATAGACAATTGGGCGGACATGCATCGTTGCGGGGACTCTTGGGTTAATACCCATGCAGAACAGACTTTCGTAAGTATTTCTACTTTTCATATTAAATTTTTTTATACTGAAATAGTGGTTTTATAACACGTAAAAATAATTATAATGTCTTATTATGTAGAACACCCTGGAGGAGGAGAGACAAATGCAGAAACACAGACTACTGCAAGCTCGACTAGACCCCCCCTTGACGAGCATGGGGTTTTGGAGCAAGTTCTTGGCATGCGTAGAGGACATAAGATAGGAGTGGGTCCGACGCTCTCCCAAAAGCATTACTCCAGGGCTTCTCCTTCATCTGCTGGTTCATTCTCAGACGCAACCTCATCGGCTCAACCTAACTCACGTATGGATCGTTATTTAAAAAAATCATACCGGGAACAAATGAAGATTTATGACAATCAGGTGAAGATGTTAGAGTTAGTGTCTAAATTGCAGCCCAACATCCAATTCCCTACGATTGCTCGTCCAGAACCAGTTAACCTAGACACTCCTCTGCCTCCTTCAGATGATGACAATCCTAATGATGATTCAGCCGTTGGCGATGCTGCAAACTTAGATGAATAGTTCCGTTATATGTTCTATTTTATTTTTCACTTTATTTAGACTTTTATATTTTTTTGAACATTATATATGCACTTCATGTAGTATTCATAATATATTTTATAAATTTATTTAGATTTATTGTTTTTAATATTAATTTATATTTCACCTTTAATGTATCTTAATAAATTATATTCAGTATGTAACATAATAACGTTTAATTAAAATTATTAAAAATTAATTAATTGCCATTTTTTTAAAAATTGAAAAAAAAAATTTATTCCAGTTTTTTGTGACGACTTTTTTATACGTGTCGTCGCAAAAAAGGAAGATTATTTGCGACAACATTTTGAAATTTGTCGTCGCAAAAAATATTATATCACGAGAATTTCATAACGGCGTATTAGCGACGCTTGTCGTCGCAAAAAAAATATGTCGTCACAAATATATTTGCGACGACACTGTGGCGTCGCAAAAAAAGTTTTTGCGACGACATATTTACGACAACATGTCGTCGCTAAAACTATTATTTGCGACGACATAGGGGTTTTTGCGACGATAAAAAGTCGTCGCAAAAACACATTTTTCTCGTAGTGACTTTGTTACTCTTCTATGTCATGTTCTGCTTTTCTCAATGGTTGCTATTTTCGTCTGGTTTCGAACCGGCTGGCTAATCAATTGGTAATATTTTACACAAAATTTGTACAGTTTTAAAACTCCTCAGTTCATTCCGACCGTACCATGCAACGCTTTTTCAAGCGTTGAATGATAGTTTATGAAGATTTGGACCGTTGAAATCTTTTTATTGTTAAGTTTCACCTAACATAAACAGCTCAAATTTCAACGGTTCACGTCAATTTTTCCATCATCCGTCGCTTCAAAACTTGTTTATTCGGTACAACTAAAAAACTAAAAAGAAAAAAAAAATGATCGTGCCGTCGTGGCAAAAACTTTAAAATTGTTGTTACTTGACCTGGTCTAAGCTCCTATCTTGTTCTTATGCTATAGGAATCCACCAGATGTAGATGAAATTATGCTGCCAGAGTCCACCTGTAGATCTATCTTCACAAAAGTCAACTGGTTTTTGTTAACGTTTTATGATATCTCAAGTGGGGACGACTTCAGATTATTCTTTCTGGTATGTACCTTGAACGCACTTTTCTCCCAAGCTAGTAAAAATATTATTAATCATATGATCATTTGTACTTGTGATCATCATGCATGATCACATACAATCATATGATCATATATAATTCTACCAAATAATTCATATGCTAATTAATGTCCAACTTTTTGTTAACTTAATTATTTCACTCATCGTCTTAAATAACTTGATTGCAAAAAATGTAATATTGCAGGCAATATGTTCTCTCTGGGTGATTTCAGTTATTGGGACTTTTGTCAGCACTATGAATCTTTTTTTCATTGGTAAGAATGTGCACAACTAAATTCACATATTTTAACTTATAATCCAATGCAAGTTTAATAAGCTGACTTTATTATTGTTTATTATTGGTACAAAGTCGTCCTTTGCATGGAAACACTACCAACTTTGTATGAATTCACATATTTTAACTTATAATCCAATGCAAGTTTAATAAGCTGACTTTGTTATTGTTTATTATTGGTACAAAGTCGTCCTTTGCATGGAAACACTACCAAATTTGTATGGACGACATCAAAATGAAGTGGACAATGTTGCTATCAAAGTCTACCGACAATTAAACAACTTTTACAAGAATTTCGAGCACACAGTTCTTGACAAGATTCCAAGGGGACCGGTAAAAGAAAAGAGATTCCACTGAGAAAGTCAACGGATCTAATCAATAGAAAAAGTTGTGAATAAGCTAGCTAATTAATGAGTTAAGTACAAAAATTCCCAAACCACAATCTTAATTATGCATAACACGTGTTCATTATATCTATATAAACACATGAGGTTCATATATATTGTCAATAAAAAAAATTTCAGCCATGAATGTAAAACTCACGCGTGATTTTAATTAGTCCATTCATTTAAGTTACAACTAATATTAAGCAGAACGAGAAGCAAATGTGGTCTAAAATAAATAGCAGAAAATTAATTAAGTAATTGCATGGCTATTTAAATGCAGTACTATATACAGTCGAGACCAAATGAAAAGATAAATATATGACAAGAATATTGGAATAATTTAGATGATATTACAAGAGTTCCAAGTGTGTTAAAATTGTACTTGGAAGCTTATAATAAAACAATTTGTATGATTCAATTACCAATAATACAATTCTCATAGTTTTGAAGATTTGCAGAAATCTGATAACTTGCAACTGGTGCTTGTGAGGCGTAGCTTAAGCATAAAAACATTTTCTTATCGACCGATCACCACTTACAAGCTTGCGTTTAACCTCTATAATTAGAGCTTGCTTAGTAGGAGGAAGAAAGATGAGAGAATTAATGTAAGGATTTTCATTCTAATGCTTGTTTGGTAGGATAGAAAAGAGGAGGTAGTGCATTGCGCTAAAGATTTCAACACTTCCAGTTCTATAATATCTCCAATATGGGAGTGATTTGATAAGGAAATCCATATAGCCTTAGCTTTAATATCATATTTAGCTCATGAATTATCGGCCAAATTTCATTTTAGATCGCGAGTTTCAAATATCCCAAAATGAATCCCCAATCTATTAAATCGTTTCAAATTAATCCTTTTATCCATCAGACAAATAAAGTCTTGATGAAAAGACTAATTTTGTGATTTTACATGTGTTATTAGAAAGAACACGCGTTTATTTTTATGTTGAGATTTTAACAATCGGTTTGAGGAAAAGACTATCGGAACAATATGAAAGATTGAGAATCATTTTTAGATCTTTTAAAAATCATGGATAAAAATGAGACATTAGCATTTAGAATCAAAATTAGTCTTGACGAAAAGACTAATTTTGTGATTTTACATGTGTTATTAGAAAGAACAAGCTTTTATTTTTATGTTGAGATTTTAATTTTTATGTTGAGATTTTAACAATCGGTTTGAGGAAAAGACTATTCGAAACAATATGAAAGATTGAGATTCACATTTAGATCTTTTAAAGATCATGGATCAAAATGAGACATAAGCCTATTATAATTTAGAAACTAAAGTTAAGTAAAAATATATATGAGTTCAACCCAATTTTTGGCTTGCCGCCGCGCCCTAACACTACTTAAAAGCTTGCTTTTAAGCTCCATACACACACACATATATATTTATTGTATTACTAGATTGAGGAGGAGTGTCAAAGTTGTGAAGTTCTTTTCTTTTCTTTTCTTTTTTTTGCAACTTTGCTTATTAAATTCACCATATGGACCTGGTCGTACTTGCCTTTGTACATTGTACATTTTTTGTTTTAGTAGAATTGTACATTGTACATTAGTTGACCTGAAGCAAATTGGCATGGCTATATTAGAGAGCTTTAACTAAAGCTAAATGTCACCCCTTTTCTTGGCAAAAGACTAGAAAGCTGAAACATAACATAGAATATTATGAACCTGAAAGAAATAAATTAGCATTAATCAGGTCCTCATTGATGTAAAAGGATCCTATATATATTTATATATTTCTATTTATGTATACATATGTTCACTTTATCAGGCTCAAAACAAGTTAATTGGCTCAAGCCAAGGACTTCAAACTTCATCTCAAACACCTTTGACTCTGATCTCTATAAATATAGAGAGATCCTAGGAAATGGAGGTTTCAAATATTTCTCATCTGGTTCGCTAAATGAGATAAAAAGCTAATAAACAAATAATAATACTATATAGTATGGTTCCAAAAAGAGGGGGGAACCAATATATGAAGATACTAAACTTTATTTTCCAAAGAATATAAAGTAGAATGATCTTGCGATGTGTCAATATTTAGCACATAAGTAACGAGAAGTTAGAGACATCGTTGACATAAATGAAATAAATATTTGTATTATGAATATATATATATATATATGTATAATGTATATATAGAACTATAACGATCCTCTGGAAATGGGAAAACAATGCACACGCCCTAAACACGACAAATGAAAAACAAAGTTGGAAATTAATTAAAACGTGAGCATAAAAGCATGGTAAGTAGTAATCGCCAATAAGTTTAATGTCAACATGCTTTGACAAATTGTAACAATTACGGATCATTACGCCCTTTGCTATGTCTCATAACTTTAAATAAATCAATACACGTTTGCATTTTCTTAAACGAATCTGATAATCCATACTCAAAACTTCTTCCTTGTCTCTCTCCTCTTGTTCTAAATTGTCGATTAATTTGTATGACCATTGCATTTTTGTTTTAATTTTTTTTATCGGGACTTTCTCTGGTAGGCATTTTTACTAGTAGTTCCAATTTTTGATAGTTGAATCTAATCAAAATCACATCAGATTAAAAATATGTAGAGCATACAATTTTTAATACAAATTTGATGGTTGAAAAGTATAAAATTACTGATAATTCATATTTTCTAGTGCTACCAGAGAAACTTCCTTCTTGTATCCCAATAATTTTTTTTCCAATTGTTTTATTGGTGGGAACTGTAATGAGAATTTGTGCTACTGTATCATAATTTTTTTGTTATTTGCAAATTAAACCTTTAGTTCTTAAATTGTAACTTTTAAGAACCTTAATTTATCAAGTTTTACAATATGGTCCAATCAATAATGGGCGCCAAATGCCAATTAATAGAAGTAGTCGTAATGCTAAAGTTTAAAAAGATGAAGATCCACTTTCATAACCAATTGAACGTTTCGAGTGCCTTTTGTACAAAATTTATGGGGTATGTTATTGACGTCCATAAGTTGTCGGATCACAATTGCAACCGAATTTTAAAGTTTAAAGTACTAAATACAAAGAAATTCGAGGTGCAACAGCAAAAATAAATAATAAATAAATAAAAATACTTGCCAATTCTCTCGTCAACAAAGCCGGCTTTGAAAATTGATTTTATTATTATTTTTTTTTGAAAAATAGGGTTAAGCTTTAAAAAGGATAAGATAAGGAACTTGAAACTTTGGACTAGGTGGTTCCCTTCTCATCTTTCGACTTTCGTTTGTTGTCGTAGTTTTAACCTTTTATTAGTGGTCCCTTCTCTGTTTAATATCAAAACGCCACTTGATTCACACCTTTCGCTCCGCTATAATTACACCGCGCATTACCATTGGTCGCTTCAACGACCAAAAAAAAATAAAGGAGAAGAATATAAAAATAAAAGAAAATCCTAGTTTGACGTCAAAGAAAACTAAGAAATGGGAGATGGAAGAATAGTCACGGTTTCATTACACAAAAAATAAATAGAAAAAGAAACAGCCTTATCAACTCACACTTAAGAGAACTTCAAAAACAAAAACAAAACAAAAAAAAACAAATTCACACTTAAGGGTCATTTATCAACCCTTAAATGTGCAAAAGGGTCATTTATGTTTTTGCTGAATGGAAAAAAGGGTCATTTATTAACCCAAAAAAAAAAAAACAACTCATTTATCCACCCTTAAAAGAGCTCGTATATAGGTTTAGCCGTCTAGCTATCAATATATAACAAAAAACAGTGTCAAAACACACACAAAAGAAACAGTTTTAGAGAGAGAGACGGAGTAACATAATCGAGTTTAATTTATAGTAATGGTTAGGGAATATTATTGGAGAGGCTCGAGCGGAGTAGGAGAGAGGGGATCAGTAACAGAGAGCTTAAGCGGCGTCGTTTTGGTGTTATTGGCGGCTCTGGTGAGCCTGGCTTTGATATTGGCGGTGGTGTTCTCCTGCGCCGACGGAGCGTCCAAAGACAAGGCCTCCGCCACGCAAACCGACACCTACGGCGGCACGGCCTGCGCCGCCGGCTGCGGTGCCGCTTGCGGCGGTTGAAACCGTTGGAGGCTCTTTGTAATTCCGATACACCTTTATTGGAGTATGTGGATTATTATTTTCTCAATTTCGTCTCCTTTCAACTGTATATCGTTAGAAAAAGAAAATCTTTTTTTTTTTTTTTTTTTTTGTTAGTTAGCAAAGGAAGGAATAACTGAATGGAAATTAGCTGGGGGAGACAAGGTAGTTAATGTAACAGTTTACTTACCAAAAAAAGAGAAAAAGAAAATCTCCGCTTTTATTATTTTCTCTCCTTTTTTCTTTTGTTCTTTGTTATGGTTAGATGGTCATTGGTCAGGTCTATGTATATCAAAAACTTCTTCCAAAAAAAAAAAAAAAAAATGGAAGTTCTGATCGGAAGTTGGTTTGGCCTTATGATTTTTAAATTTTAACGTGTGAAGTGACTAAGGGGCCGTTGGTATGCAGTAATTAATATGAATTAAATACCTAAAAAAATTATGGTAGGTAATATGATTTTCTAAAATTTTATATTATCATGTTTAGTTATGTCTATGAATCTTTTGTTAGATTCTCAAATATGTTATTTTATGATATTTTGTTATGCATAATAATGTAATCCTTCTTATAAAGTTAATAATTTTAAAAAAAAATTAAAACTAATTAAATCCTATTATTTCCATTTTACTAACTTATAAGATTAATACTATTAGTGGATTTTTTAAATATTATGAAAAAATACAAAACTCAAAAATGCTCCCTCTCTCTCACCCCTCTCTCTCTCTCTCTCATCCCTCTCGATCTCCCTCTTAATCTTCCAGATCCACACGGGATTGGACTTTGCCGGGCGTGGGCAGACGAAGGCGATTCGAGCCTGGTCACGAGGCTGCGCGATGGTCACGGGGCTACGCGATGGTCATGGGGCGATGGTACGATGGTCATGGGGCGATTGTACGATGGTCACGGGGCTGCGTGAATGGAGGTGATTCAGGGCTAGGCGGATTGAAGCGACTGTCACAGGGATGGTGGGACAGTCAAGGGGCTGGGTGGACAAGGAGATCGGCGACCACCGTTGGATATGAGGATTTAACAGTGGGGTAGAGCATTATTGGATTGGAAGGCGGATTTAACGGTGGTGGCTGCACAGGAAAGTCTGACGACGGAAGGCGGTGGTGGCGTGGTCGATGGAAGAGTAGTGGACGAGAGAGGCGATTGGGTCTGGGAAGAGATAGGTGGGAGAAATGTGAGAAAGTAAATAACACTCATTTTTTAACTTTCCCGTTATATTAACTTTCCTGGGAAAGTAAATAACACCCTCCAAAATGGGTTTAGGATTACTCTAAAATGTGGTAATGTAAAACCTATGGGCTTCACTTTTTTGGGTTTTAAAAAAGTCTAATAATTGTATCAAAAATGAGAATTTGAAAGATTTTCATTCTTATCTATGAGATTACCCCATATCAAACGCCTCATAAGTGTACAGGTGTAAGGCAAATGCTACACAAATTTGGTTTCATTCAATTGGTATGTGACCTAACAAGTACTATTAAAATGTATCAAAACTAGCGTGTAATGCAACATTATAATACAATAAATGCTTGTCAGTTCAATTAACAATTTAAGGGGCTCGTTAATAAATTCGACAAAGTTTATAGACATCTAATTCAATATTCATTAGGATTGGTACGGGAAAGATAGAGAATTATCTCCAAATCCAATAGTGCGACGCAACAATTAAACAGTAACATTCTTGCTTTTCTATTTTGGTATTTTTTGTTATATTGAAATATCCCACTAGTACTCTGTATTCAATAATATTAAGAGAAATACTAAGGGCCCGTTTAGTTCGCTGATTCGAGTTTTTAATTCGAGTTGAGATATAATTTTATGTGAGAGCTTTTTACTGTAGCAAAAAAGTTAAATGTGATTATTTGTGAGAGCGTTTTACTGTAGCAAAACTCGAATTCTAAACTCGAATCAACGAAATGAACGGGGCCTTTACTTGTTCATTTGCTCTCTTTCTCACTCTCTACCTTCTCTTTTTCCAAAACTCTGCCACCCCATTCTTTTATTACTAAAACGAGATATTGAAGGTTATTTTTATAATTTACTACAAAATTATTATTTTTAAAATATTACAAGATTACTATTAAAACAAGAAAGACTTTTTAAAGAAATAAAAAAGGAAACATTTATATACAGAAATAAAAAAGGAAACATTTATATAAACACTTAGCTGGGAAAACGTATATATATATATATAATGTCCAAACTGTTTTTTTATTAATTAAATAAAAACTAATAACTTTAAAAATATTTTGTAAAAACATTCACTTTTTTTTAATTTTTAAATGTTAAAATTATTTTCTTATTTTTTAAAAAAATCATTAATTTGTTGTTAATTAGTGAGAATGGTAGAATGAACATTTTTTCTCTTAAAAATCAGTCTCAGAGTACTAAAAGAACGTTTCTTATTATTTTAATATTATTAAAAATACGGGTGCCAATAAGGTATTTTATTATAATAAAAAGTACCAAAATAATTTTATCCCTTTTATTTTTAAAAGACCAAGTAGGAAACAGCACCAACCATCTTTTTGTGACCGTTTCTTTGCAGCACAACTCTTGTAGTCAACTTATGTGTAACACAAATTTCAACTCCAATGTTCGCGGCATAAATCTAAAGATGTCCTCAGAATTTCTCTTAAAATTGGATAATTTTTTTGTTTTTCAAAGAACTGTATCCTTATTTGCAGCACAACCCTTCTAGTCAATAAACCACATTCACATGTTCAACAATAATTTCAAATATTCTAAAGTTAGTTAAAAAAAAAAAAAGCCAATTACACGTTTTCTAGATGCTATTAGTATTTGCCGACTTGATTTTGCACAGCCCCATCTTTTTGTGACCGTTTCTTTGCAGCACAACTCTTGTAGTCAACTTATGTGTAACACAAATTTCAACTCCAATATTCGCGGCATAAATCCAAAGGTGTCCTCAGAATTTCTCTTAAGATTGGATAATTTTTTTTTGTTTTTCAAAGAACTGTATCCTTATTTGCAGCACAACCCTTGTAGTCAATAATCCAGATTCACATGTTCAACTCTAATATTCGCGGCATAAATCTAAAGATGTCCTCAGAATTTCTCTTAAGAGATTTTTTTTTTTTTTTTTGTTTTTCAAAGAACTGTATCCTTATTTGCAGCACAACCTTGTAGTCAATAAACCACATTCACATGTTCAACAACAATTTTAAATATTCTAAAGTTAGTTAAACAAAAAAAAAAACCAATTACACGTTTTCTAGATGCTATTAGTATTTGCCGACTTGATTTTGCACAGCCCCAAAGCATGTAAATTTAACCAGGATTCATCAATTGATGATTTGTATGTATATTCATGAAAACGACAGCCCCACGTACACTGTAAACGACTAATAAAAAAAATGTTTGGTACTCTCACACAGCCTTAATACGGATATTATTTTGCTCATCAATCTGTACACAAATAGAGAATTCTTCCTTCCATTAAAAAAATCACAGCTGATATTATCCTTTATTTTTCTCTGTTCTTGAATGATCCTCCTTTTCAGCACAAATGCATAAACCAAAACCCAGTAAAGCTTTCTCTGCCTTTCCTGTCCCTTCTTTATGGCCTAAAAGCGGCTATGGCATTCACATTCCAAGCTTTTTCCTAATTTCAGAGGAGGAAATATCCATGCGGAACTTCCCTTCAGGTATCGAGATGAACATGTCTTTCAACTCCTCCGGAATTTCTAAATCATCAAGAACCTGCAGAATGTGCCATGCAATAGCGACGGTAAGTTCAACAAAGACTAATATGAAAGGTAAAAATCGAGAATGTGCCCTAACAAGTTTCTGAAACGTGTAACCGACCTTGAAAACACCGTCTACGTTACGGCCTGCCACAAGAAAAGTGCAGCCTGTTGCCTTGCATCCAGTTAGAATCTCCAGCATCTTGTTATAGTTCCCATCGTAGTACTTGGGCTGGAAAAAAAAAAAAAAAAAAAAAAAGTAACTTGTAAAAATAAACTAAGATTTACTTAATGCTCTCATTTAAGAGCAGTTTATAGCTACATAGAGAGATCACAAAAGTCAAAGATTGTATGATTCATTCTGGACCACATTTGTATTATGCTTTTGTTGCTTGATTTTCATTTTTATTCATTTATTTATTTTTATGATAAACAAAGAGAAAGGATTGACTATAAATTTAGTAACATACATGAACAAGCCTTGCTGCTGTGTCAGCGCCAATTACAAACGCACTGCCTGGAAATATTTCGGCTTTCTTATAAAAGTAAGGCTGATTTGATATGATCACCGTCTTACCTGTCATATAAAAGCTGATATGGTTAGATATGAAGTTTTTTTTTCTTTTAAAGGAAAAAAGAAAAGTACTCATATAAAATATACAAGGACTGTCATACAGGACACCAGGGAGAGCAGGATAAGTTTACCTAAAAAAAACTTTTCAGATAGGAAAACTTTAAGAAAGTATAGTCAAAGCACAAAAATTAAATAACCAAGCAAGTGAAGCTCACGATAAGCGTCATACTTATGGTGAGTGATATAGAAACGGCATCACCGTGACAAATTTCGCAGAGCACAAATCATTGATCTTCTTTGACTTATCAATACGATCTCCTACTTTTTTATTTCTTGCATTAATCCAAATAGAAGATTAAGATATGTTCCTTCTAGCACTAACCGTATTAGATATTAGTACTCCTTAGATTAGGATACAGCCACATTCTCCAAAACAAATTTATTAACACGACAAAATGTTGAAAATAAAATCAAGTCTGAAAGCTACTTCAAATTATCTCAAGTGCTCAAATTTATTAACACCAAAAAAAGTTGAAAATAAAATCAAGTCCGAAACCTACTTTAAATTGTCTCAAGTACTCATCAGCATATGTAAGATAAGGCATGAGATAAAGCAAACTATCATTAGATTACTAGTTCTTCTCAAAGCTTAAGCCATTAGAAGATAGGCTTATATTAGTAATCAGATATCAGATTCTAATACTTTCCCTCCGTGTGTGAGTTTAGAGACGAGAAAAGAGAAAATTGCTGAACCTACCCTTAAAGTGCATGGGACTGGATTTTTACCCCTTCCTCTTGATAATACCCTTTTGACTATTATAGTTTTTTGATTAAAAAGAATCTTAATAAAGAGTAAGAGGTAAAACTTCAGATAATTTTTTTATTAAAAATGATATTAATAGAGTAAGGAATAAAAATTCAGATCCAACATTTGTCTCTTTTCTCCTTTAGACAATGAGCAAAAAAGTTGGCGAACGAAATTGGGTACGCCCAATACAGAAATACTAATGAGGCCGGCACCTACTAATCCAAACTTCCTCCCAGGTTTAATCCACATCAAAGAAAGATGAAGTAAAACAACAACAACGTGGGCAAACAATCATGCTCACCAGCTTTTTCAAACTGCTTGACACGATCTTTGATCTGTGATACTGAAAGTGGAGGTTTGTCAGCATTGACTGCTGATATTTCAAAACACGGATACGCGTCTTCACAAATGCTGCCCAAACCAAAAAACAAAAAAAACAAAAAAAGAGTAATTCGTGAGAAAATATGACTTGACTTCTGATTACAGAGCTTATGTCTCAACCATGAAAGCCACATAAATGCAGCAGCTTGAATTTAAAAGCTTAGCATTGAAGGCCTTATACATTAAACCTAATTTCACTTTTAACTATATTTATACATGATTTCCCACTTTAAAAGTCCAAGTTTGAAAGCAATGGTATTTTAACAACCATTTCTATAGCACTCTCCTAACCAGAGCTCCAAATTCTTCTGATGTGCAAATATACATCATAACAACAATGATGAATAATTGATGGACTTTAAAGGGAACTATCACAGGTTTTAAGGTTGGATTGACATATACCAGGAAACATAAACTATTGAAGAGAGTATCACAGCCATGTCATCACACTATATTTGGAATACTAAATATACTCTTAGGATACCAGTATCCGACTGAGATACGCGCCGGTATCCGACCCCAAAACTGGTATTCAACCGAGATATCCAGCGGTATCCAATAGACAACAGCCAGTATTGGCGGCAGTAGTCACCGGAATACCTAGATACCAATATCCTGCCGTGAAACCGGCAAGTATGCACCACATAAACTGTCCGATAACCACTAATACCGGTGGTACCACGACCGTTCCTGTTGCCAGAACAATTTAAAAATCACAAAATTCAAAAACACAGACCATTGAAAAAAATCACATACGGATCATGAAAATAGGAAAAAAAAAGTGACAAATAAATCAACAAAAAAAAAAAAGTCAATGTAAACGGGATATCAGATGCTTACTAGCCGGTATCCCAATTTCTGCCATTGTCGTCAACGACGATGATACTTGATTGGTATCATTTGCCATGACAATTAGTATCTAGGCGGATACTGGACAGTATCTGAATACTGGACAGTATCCGCCTGAATACTGGACAATATCCGCCTGAATACTGGACAATATCCGCCTGAATACTGGACAGTTACCAACCGGTACCCGTAACCACAATTACTGATGGCGGCACTGCTGCCGGAATACCAAAAAAAAAAACAAAAAATTAATAAAATCCATCAAAATAACTGAAAAAACATGAAAAATCAGAAAATCACTTCACAAAGTCTCTCTTTGGAAAATTTCTCTCTCTTCCGCTCTCTTCTCTCATGAGGATCTAGGATTTGTTCCCATTGCTTGTGACAGCAATGGTGACGGGGACAAACGAGTGATGATCTCTGCGCGCTCTGTTAGACCCCTACTGAAGCAAGTTTACACTAGGAGGGGCAAAACGGGTAGAAAACACAGAGTTAGGGGCCTAAGGGAAAATATTGAAAGTGGCTAGGATGGGCTGACGTGGCAAGAGGGCTAATCTGGTAGTAATTTGAATGCGGCAAGAGCAGTAGGTCTTGGGGTGTGAGTATTTTTATCTTCCGAGTGTTGGGTGTGTTACCGGAACAGCTGGGAGTGCCGAAAAGCTCGAAATCTCCGATCTATCCTTTGTAATTCAATGTAATTTGGTGTTCTTAGCAGATTAGATTAATAATATTCCCTTTAATTACTCTCATTTTCTTGTTGTTTCTGGTGTGTGTGAGTGTGGTATTGGTGTTTGGTTGATTTTCTGAGCTAAGTTCCTAACAATTTGGTATCAAAGCTCCGATCCATGGCAGCTAAACCAGCGGATCCGGTGGAAAAGGGGCTGGCGGTGGTCCAGGAGGCGGTCCACGCGGTGGTGACTGAGAATCTTCCCCAAATCCGTGAAGAAGTGGCGGGGCTGCATGGTGAACTGGGGGAAGTTCGGACTCAGATGGAAGACGTGCAGGCGGCGCTGCGGATGATGGATGCACTATTGGCAGCGCAGCCGATGGCCGGAGTGGCTGATTTGGGTCGGCGACGGGAACCGGAGTGGGAGCCGGAGTTAGAGGAGGATAGGCTTGCTCCGTGGCTGGGACGGCATGGGTACCCTCGGAACAGGGAACCCAGCCCTGATTTGGACGTGTTTGGGGCTCAACGAGGCGGAGACCAGAGGCTGCACCGTGGAGGAAGAAGGTGGGAGGACTAGAGAGTCCATCGCCAAGAGACTCCGGAGGTACAATAGTGTTTGTGACCATTAATGAGCTTGCACAGAGGGTTTCAAATGAATTGATAGACTTTGTGGTTGCTTTCCAAGATACCAGGAAGACAAAAGAAAATAATTGATTGGCTCCAATTGAAAAATGTGATTTATAGGGACAGCAACAATTCAGACTCTCCAATCAAGGAATTAGCAAAGTCTTTTGTTCTTGATCATTTAGATGTTATTTTTCAATTTTATTTTTTAGTTTTCACCTTGAGGACAAGGTGATTCTTTGGGGCGAGGGTAATGTTAGGATCCGTTAACTTTGGAACTTGTTTGGTTAGTGGGCTAGTAAAGTTAGTAGGAATTAGTATAAATAAAAGGCTCAGGGGCTCACTAGAGGTATGTTGTGATTTTGAGAGTTTTGAGAGACTGAGATTAGGGAGAGCGGTGGTCTCTCGAATACCACCAAATTAGGAGTCCCCGGAGTACTCGAATTCTCCATTCCAAATTAGATGTTGGAAGGGGACACGCTTCCCTGTCGGGGGCTTCTAGTCCGTCGGGTGGTGGTGCAGGGGGATACCGCCGAATGTCGAAGGAGATGCAACAACGACGCGCCCGTGGGCTTTACTTTAAATGAGATGAGAAGTTTAGCCCCGGGCACCGTTGCAAGAACAAGCAACTCCAAATTCTGCTGGCGACCGAAGATGATTCAGAAATAGAAGGGGAAGTCAAGGAGAAGGAGGGCTCCGATGAAGATGATAGGCCACCGGTGCATTTTACTTACGTAAGGAGGAATAAAAGGCAGGGGCAGAATAGGAATTCTATGACAGGGCTGCCTATTGTAGAATAAGTGGGGTGATTGATTGAATAACGGTTTTAGGCGGGAATTAGGGGGATAAATAGGAGTGGAAACAGAAGGGAGAGTTTAGAGAATTATATTGAGAAGAAATTGGAGAGTTGAGGTCTCTCGAAAACCTCTGTGTGTGTAGAGTGTTCAGGAAGATTCTCATTGAATCATTCCGATAGTCTGTTCAATTCAATAATACTTGCGTAATTAAATCTTTAAGTGTGATTTACCTGTGATTTCGTATCAGAAGACTCATCGGTAGAGAAGGTAGATCTCTCTCTCAACTCTCTAATGGGAGTATACTCTGCGAAAACCATGAAAGTCAAAGGATGGATTGGTTCACGGGAGGTGGTAGTGTTGGTGGATAGTGGAGCTTCTCATAGTTTTGTGTCGAATTTGGTGGTCAAAGAGTTGGGGCTGCCTTATGATTCCTCGGTTAGGTGTGGTGTGCAAGTGGGGAATGGAGCGTGTATCAAACAACAAGGTGTTTGCCGGGGAGTAGAGTTGATGATTCAAGGTTACAAGGTGGTGGAGGATTTTTTCCCATTTGAGTTAGGAAGGGCCGATGTGGTGTTAGGAGTGACGTGGTTGCGTAGATTGGGAGAGGTGAGAGCGGATTGGTCCTGATTCACAATGAAGTTTAAGGAGGGGAAAGAGGGGGTGAGTTGGTCAGGAGACTCTCTTTATGCTACACGCCCACAAGCTTACGTTCGATGGCTCAATCTCTCGGGCCTCACCAGGCAGGAATATTGCTAGAAGTTTGTGAGGTAGTGGGAGATGGCAAGGAAGGGGCTGCCGAAGCAATTCCCAAGGAGCTACAGGGAGTGTTGGCCGTGGTGGAGTTTTTGAGGAGGTTAAGGGGCTGCCCCCTAAGAGAGCTCGGGATCACCGTATCGTTTTGAAGGATGGGGCGGACCCTCCCAACGTCCGACCCTATCACTGTCCACATTTTCAAAAGGGGGAGATTGAGCAGTTGGTGACGGATATGTTGACTTCGGGGATAATTCGGCCTAGTTGTAGCCCTTATTCGAGTCCGGTGCTCTTGGTGAAAAAGAAGGACGGTAGTTGGCGTTTTTGCGTGAATTATCGGGCCTTGAACCAAGTAACAGTCCCGGATAAGTTCCCTATTCCGGTGATCGACGAGCTACTTGATGAGCTCCATGGAGCACAAGTATTCTCGAAGTTGGATTTGAGGGCGGGATACCATCAAATTCGGGTCCTCGAGTGTGATGTGGAGAAGACGGCCTTTCGGACACACGAGGGCCATTATGAGTTCCTAATGATGCCATTCGGCCTCACCAACGCCCTGGTGACATTCCAAGCATTAATGAACTCAATATTTCGACTATACCTTCGTCAATTCGTCCTTGTGTTCTTCGATGATATTTTGGTGTATAGCAAAAGGTTGGCGGAGCATAGGGAGCATTTGACTAAGGTGTTGGAGATTTTGGAAAAAGAAAAGCTATATGCTAACAAGAAATGTATTTTTGGCCGATCAAGTGTAGAGTATCTCGGGCACATAATTTCGGGAGAGGGAGTGGCAGAGGACCCCTCCAAAGTCACAGCCATTTCTACTTGACCGACACCTCGGAATGTGCGTGATGTGCGCGGATTCTTGGGCCTCACCGGGTATTATCGGCGTTTTGTGAGAGGGTATGGAGAGATAGCTCGTCCTCTTACCAATTTGCTCAAGAAAGGAGGCTTTGAATGGGGAGAAGCGGCGGCGCAAGGCCTTTGTGGTCCTTAAAGAGACTATGACTACCCTTCTAGTATTGGCTATGCCTGATTTCACTAAGCCTTTTGTAGTGGAAACGAACGCGTCAGGGGCTGGTCTTGGGGCAGTGCTCATGCAAGAAGCCAAACCAATCGCATTCTTAGTAAGGCACTCGCCGAGGCAAGCCGGGTGAAATCGGTTTATGAGCAGGAGTTGATGGCGGTGGTATTTGCCATCCAAAAGTGGCGCCATTACTTGTTGGGACGCCACTTTGTGGTTCATTCCGACCAACAAAGTCTTCGATTCCTCATGGATCAAAGGATGCTTCCACCGGAACAATTACGTTGGGTCACGAAGCTTTTGGGCTATGACTTTTCGGTCCAATTTAAACCAGGGCAGCTAATAGGGTGGCGGATGCACTATCAAGGAGGGGAGAGGAGCGAACCTTGGACCTAGCGGCCGGTGTTCCATTTTTCCCAACTCAAAGCCTTCAAGGGAGACACCCCAGCTGCCCACCCCTTGCCGCCTGATCTTTCAAAGGAGCTCGAGCTTCTGGTCTCTGCCCCGAGGCCATCTTACGTGCACAACGAGCTCAAGAGGGAGGGCCACATGACTTGGACTTGCTCGTCCAATGGGAGGCAACTTGGGAACCCCTAGCCGCCCTCCACCAACAATTCCCCGACTTCAACCTTGGGGACAAGGTTGCTCTCTAAGGGGGGGTTGGGGACGAGGTTGCTCTCGAGGGGGGGGTACCCTACTGAAGCAAGTTTACACTAGGAGGGGCAAAACAGATAGAAAACACAAAGTTAGGGGCCTAAGGGAAAATATTGAAAGTGGCTAGGATGAGCTGACATGGCAAGAGGGCTAATCTGGGAGTAATTTGAATGGAAGAAGGGCAGTAGGTTTTGGGGTGTGAGTATTTTCATCTTCTGAGTGTTGGGTGTGTTGCCGGAATGGCTGGGAGTGCTGGAGAGCTCGAAATCGCAAGAGGGCTAATCTGGGAGTAATTTGAATGGGGGAAGGGCAGTAGGTTCTGGGGTGTGAGTATTTTCATCTTCCGAGTGTTAGGTGTGTTGCCGGAACAACTGGGAGTGCCGGAGAGCTCGAAATCTCTGATTTATCCTTTATATTTCAGTGTAATTTAGTGTTCTTGGCTGATTAGATTAATAATATTCCCTCCGATTACTCTCATTTTCTTGTTGTTTCTGGTGTGTGTGAGTGTGGTATTGGTGTTTGGCTGATTTTTTGAGCTAGGTTCCTAACACTTTCTCTCCTCCGGCGACTTCAATCTTAGCGGAAGATCAACAAATGGATCTTGAGGACACTATTTCGCCAATTCCTTGTGCAATCGTACAGCGTTAACAAGGAGAGGTCACCGTGCTTCGGATCTGGTGGCGGAGCTCTTCATGACGACAATGGCTCACTACTTGGTGGCGGAGAGCTCCTTGGCGATGGTGTGGAGAATGAGACGTCGCCGAGAATGGAAAGGTTGCCAGAGCTCTTCGTGATGACGAAAGCTCACTACTTGGTGGCAGAGAGCTCCTCAACGTCGAGCTTCGATGAGAAAGCTTAGTGACGGGTTGTGTATTGCGTGGGAAAAGAGGCGAGAGAGAGAGAGAGAAGAAAGAGGAGAACATGAAATTAAAAACCCTACTAAATCAGAATTTCAGGGTATTTTAGACTTTTTGGTTGTTTTTTGGATCTACCACATGGCAAAAAATTTGATAGTTTTAATAACTCTGGCAGAAGTCAATCCCCACTTAATTTTTGCGTCATATTGCCTAAATATCTCCAAATTGATTTCTAGTTCTCAATTCATCTAACAATCAGGTATTTCCACAAAATAAAACTGACCAATCTCCAATTCATAACTAATGGGCACCTTAAATCTTATTTCTCTCATTATAGCGTTAAATCACATACAAGGCCAGGTTCCCTAGGTGGCAAAGTTCCACTTAATAGAAATTTGAACACCTTACACAACATGTAAGGGTCATATCAAGGATAAAAATTTAGCACAGAACACAGTTTATATACACACAATTGGCAGCAACTGCTACAAAGAGAGTATGCAAATATCAAAACATGTATGGACAAATGCAAATCATTAAGTCAATTCCGATTTCTCAATAACGAAATTATTGTACCTGGTAGCAACATCTAAGAGCTTGAGGTGACCTTCATGCAACGGATTAAAAGAACCAGGTAATACTACCCTTCTTTCTGCATTTAAGTTATGCACCCCTGCAAAAGGTCCACCAAATTATAAGCACGCACACGCGCCCACACACACACATAACCAGTACGGTTGATATAACCAATTGATATAACCAAAAGACTATATAACCAATTGATATAACCAAAAGACTAAGTCATACCACTTGAAAATGGATAAACCTTAAAGCATATTTGCCCATCTATAAGCTGCTGTAGCTCTTCATCTTCACTGAACTCTTTTTCAGACTCCTCAGATACATCAGATTCAGTTAAATCCGGGACAAATGATCCTGGAACTTTGCAAGCACACACAATTGCCTGTAACCAAATAACAAGGCTGCATAAGAAAGAGAGTTAAATATAAGACTGAGAACATGACAGATGAACATATTTAAGTACCTTAAACTTTAAAAATCGGTACTTTAAAAATCATTTTTGATGTTATCATGCACCTTGAGTAAAAGTTGACTTGACAGGAAATCTTCTTGCTCCCTGGTTCGCAAACCCTAAAACAATGAGAAATGCAGAAGGTGAATATTGCAATAATTAAAAATTCCATACTTTTAGAGAGAGAGAGAGAGAGGGATTTGGGGGGGAGGGG